GGACTTGTAGTGATTCTCCTGTTTTCAGCCTTCCAAGTGCTGGGATTACAGGTGCGCACCACCACGCCCAGTCTCAATCACCATCTCAGAAGGCCCCACGGGTGGGGCTGCAATGGCACACCGGGGATCAAACCCCGTCCACTGCGCTCTGCCTAAGCAGGTGCTTCAGTCCGCTGAGCTAGCAGGGTGGCCTTTGGTGCTATGATCTCTTATCAAAAAACATAGCATGCTTTCTCCTGAGCCTACCCTGCTGTAGTCACGCTGATCCTTCCCCAATAGTTAGCGCTGCCTGGCTTTGGGGCATTTGATTATCTGGCCCTCCATTTATGGCACTTTCCACATCTTGTTATCAGACCAAATTTTACCTATCATTTCTTAGGGAGTCCTGTCCAAATCCACCCAGTAGAAAGCTGCCTTGAGGATATTCCTCCTATATTCATTTATTTCTCTGTAAAGCACTTATCACTATGTCTTAGTTTTTTTTTCCTTGTGAATAGTTTCAATCACCCCAACAGAATATAAACCTCAAGGGAGTAAGGATGCTGTGTTTATTGTTTGCTACTATACGTCTCATGCCCACGTAGAGCCGAGGATACACTAAACCAGTGATAGTGAATCTTGTAGAGCTTTCAGGTTCTAAAACAGCCTGCTGTAGCACATGTGCCATAGGTTCACCACCACTGCACTAAACCCTTGACATATGACTTGAAAAACATTATATCCAATTTTGAGTTGATTTGGTGGTGACAGCATTTGAAACTTCTGTCTTATGCTATTTTGAGATTATATTTTACCTTATCATATGGAGGAGACACACAGAATTATGCAATTAAAATCATTCAACTCAAGGTTGAATGAAGAGAAGGTTTGTGTTTTTTTTTTTTTTTAAATTTTGGAAAAATAAGGGCAAGTGCCAAAGGCTATAAGAACCAGAAGCATCTGATTTCTCTGAAGTCTGATTAGGGTGGCTGGGAAATGGTTACAGTGCACATACCAATGTTTGAGGACACTGGCTAAGTTCATAAATGAGTCCTGATCCTAGACTCCATGCCATGCAGTGGGCTCAGTTGGAAGAGTAAAGGAGACACTTAGGGGTTTCATAAAGGGTCTCTGGCATTGATGTCAGAGATGGAGAACAGGGTTTCACTCTCCTACTCTCTATAAGCAGGGCAAGGTGATTCCAGATCCAGAATGAAGCTAGCTATACTCAATTGAGTAAGGGAAAAGAATGAATAAATAAAACACAGGCAAATGTGTGTGTGTGTGTGTGTGTGTGTGTGTGTGTGTATGTGTGTGTGTGTCTTCCTAGGCTTACATGTGTGGGTGCATAAACGCATGTACAGAGGTAGGACAGAAACCTCTGTGTCAGTAAAGACAGCTTGGGACAGAGTAGGGAGAGAATAAAACTCATGAGCTCTCCACAGCCAAAGAATGGCCTCAGCTGTCTGCAGTTGGTTGACTAATACTTGTCAGCCCCGAACAATAAGAACAGTGACAGCTTTTCACTTAGAGTCGCCCTCGGTGGAGCATAATGATGTGTGGGCTGGGGGCTGGGGAGGTTGGTCACAACAATTTGCTGTATCAGAAATTCATTTCATTGTGAGGCCTGCATTCCTGCATAGGAAGTCAGCTGACCTCACAAGAGGTACGCAAGGTCCTTGCTGCCGTGCTTCAGTGCCTTCTCTGATTGGCCTTCTTCAATTCTATCTCCCAGGTTAATAATAAAAGCTTCCAGTTCCCTAGCAAACGTTCCAAGGTTAATGTAGGAAGTTTTCAGTGGAAAACTTATGGCTCTATCTGGTTTAACTCCAAGGTTCAGCATATGGCCTAAGACGTGGCTGGCACACATTAGACAGTGCCCAATATTTAAAAAAATACTTCTCTGTGGGACTCATTAGAGCTGAGAGAATCTCTTAGAAATTGAAGGGAAGAAGGACATTGTTATTTTGGTAGCTATGCTGGTATCTGAATGATTGTGCCTAAAGGAGAGCATGCCTGAGTACAAAACTGAGTAGGGAAAGATGATGAACAAAAGGTGATCTTAATCCCCTCTGAGGCTTAAGTGCTATTTTACTTAAAAATGTTTAATTTATAACCGGAAGTGTACAATCTTTAAATAGCCAGCTGCCATACCAGTTATTCAGGGACAAAGGTCATGCCAGGCTGATTTTTTTTTTTTTTTTTTTTTTTGTGGCCAGCTTAGCCCACCCTGGGGGCAGGGCTGGCATGGCATGAGGTGCTGGGGAATCGAACTGCAGTCCCTGTGTGCTAGCCTCAGCTTGCCTAAGCAGGCACTTTAGACTGCTGAGCTACCTCGCTAGCCTCTGCCAAGGTGACTTTTTAAGCCCAGCCCTCAAAGGAGAACACTCATAGAACATGGCAAGAAATCACCAGAAGCTTGGCTCTTCAGCATCTAATACAAAAAAGCAAAAATTAAAAAATAAATACAAATAAAAACACTCACTTTTTTCCTTGCTCAGGTAAAGCCCCTACTTCATTTCCTTTCCACAGTGCTCATTTTATTTTTTTCTTCTTTAAACTAAATCTACTAATTTTGATCTCAGTGAAGTTCTCCAAGCTCTGACTTGGTACTTCAACCTCCATCCACCCTTCTTAATGCACTAGCAAGGAAACTGTTATTGCAGGGAGCAAAAATGGAATTGGCCAATGAGACATCCAATCATCCTCCTGGGAAGCACAGTCAACTCATAGTTAACTGAATCAGAGATCTGCATGAACACTGGAATTAATCAGGCGGCAAGGCATAGGAATTCTCAGACAATAGCACTGAGCAAAGTTATTGTTCACCTCTGTGGATGAGGCCTAGGAGACTCCTCAAAAGAAATCTGAGCCCACCTGCTTCTTGGCTCTGGCCTTCAATTTCTTCCGCACTTTGCTTTTCCTCGGGACCATTCTCATCTTTCAAGAAAACCGCAGAGGAAGAAAAAAAAAATACATCAAGTCAATTTATGAAATATTTCTTCATGGCTAATATGCAGCACTGAAATTAATTGCAACCAATGTAGCATGACTCCCCATAAAGCAATGCAGAGAGATGAATCAGAGGCATGAAACAGAAAAATTACCTACATAAATAGGTGCATTTATACTCGCCCCTTCTCACATGATTTGCTAGATGAAATGTTGGACTGTGGTAAACAAAATTCACTCAGCAGTCCTGGTAACATCTCTCTCTTTTCGCTTGGCATTTCCCCAAAAATGCAATACAGATTTAAATTCCAATCTGCTTTTCTCCTTTAACTCAAGTAACATACCCTGTGTAAAAAATCTTGGCTGTCAGTTGCTGCACTCTTTATTTTTCTGTTTAATATGTTGTAAAATAAATAAAAAGGTCTAGTTTTACTCTGCCTATACATGAAAGTCTAACATACACATATTATGGAATATTTTGTCTTGAACCCATTATATTGGTCTAAAATGTAAGTCTGAAAATAATTGGGCAGGTGAAATGGATGATCTATATTAGCAATTATATAAAAGGCAATTCAATTTTGCCTTTAAGACTCCTATATATGTGAATTAATGGGTAGAAAAAAATTAAGCTTTTCAAGGTAAGTAGCACCTGATTTTATAACTCATTGCTAGGAATGTTTCCAAATTGCTGCTTGGAAGAAAAAGCAAAGAACAATGATAAATCTGTATGAGGAGACAGGAACAAAATATAAAACATGTGACTAAATACAAAGAACAAAGAAGAAGAATTTACCAGACTAGATTAATCGGGTTAAGATGGTCACAAATCCTTTGCCTCTAAAGGAGAATCATCTCCTGTTTGGATCCTGATGGAGCCATCACTGCTTAGACTCAAAGAATGAGGCGGAAGTGACGCTCTAGGACTTCAAGCTGCCCTCAGAGGCCTGGCAACATCAGCTTTCTCCTTTTGAGAAGCTAGCCACAGCTGTAAAAATGTCTAGGCCAGCCTCCCTCAGAGAGAGGGGGCCTGAGGTCAAGCTGCCAGCTGCATGGAGCTGTGTGATAATTTTAGGCATTGTCACCAGGAGCAGGAGAATAATCCAAATGAGCCCCTTTGAAACTTCTGGCATCCAAGCAGCCCCAATCATAGACCCTGATCCTGTTTAAGTGTATTGACCTGACACCATCCGCCACTACTATTGCTGCTACTACTGGCAGAAACAAGAAGATGGGGAAGTTATCCAGAGAACTCTTTGAGGGAGCAGAAACCAAGCCAGAAGTCATGAAGGAACAGTCAATCAAGAAGCTCTGAAGAATCAGTCATTGAGGAGAGTGTCAGATCAGAACACATTTGGATTTGATTGGAATGAAGGACAAAGTTTATAGGAAACTTTGATTAAAAAAAAACAACAATGAAACAAGTGATGCTCAAGTTACAGAGGAACTCTGTTAATAAGAGCTTAAATATGTACAGAAAACTGTCTGACTGCTTAGCATCTGACACAAGTGACATAGAATAGTCTTTAGTATGAGAACCTGGGAGAACCTGTGTGCTTCTGAACCCATTGTCCTCAATGGCCTATTCACAAGGACAGAAGGGTTATCTGGAATTTTCTCTCTCCTGGTTCTTCCTGTGAAGGACAGCCCTGGCTTTTGCTCTAGGCAGGAAGTAACCAATGTGGCTGTTTTTGCTTGCTTTACAAGGCCAAGCTGGTATAGGAGTAGTGGGAAAACTGCATCCATCTCCCCCCTCCCCTTTTTCCCATCAACTGGGTCAAGTTGAGCTGGAGAAGTCTGCCAACTTTTCTCTAACAGACAGACTTGAAAACACAGATTTCGCAATAGGCCTGAACTCTGCAGGTGACAGGCTGCCTTGAAAATTGATCTGGTTGCTTCACCTCTTATAGAGTACGTATCTAGAAGAAGACAAGCAAGGAAAGGGAAATAAATATACTGAGGGAACATGAGGAATTGTTTCCAGCAGTTTAAAATGCACAAAAAAATTTATGGTCAGATTCTTAGATGCAACTTTCTAATAATAAAAAAGTCTGGCTATTTACTGAATGTACTGCTCCTGGGTTTCTCTCTTAGTGTGAGAACATGCCCTCCCTCTCCTTAGCTTGGACTTTGGAGTAGCGTGCTTTTCTCTCACGTTTTGAACCTCTGCTGCACAGTTCTCTACTTGCTGTATTTTTGCCCCTGGGAAACAAACTTTAGAACTTGACATGTTTATCACAGAGTAAATGCATCCTAGAAGCATGCTGGATTTGCCAGCCGAGCACAGTGTCTGCAGATGAAAAGGGTCTGATACATTGTTTTCATCTATTTCCAAGACAGTGCATTTTCAAGTCCAGCAGGGGGAACCAATGTAGAAGCCTTGCTTCCAAAACCAGCATATGCCTTCTTGGACAATTAGATTAGCATTTGTTTCACTCTCTTTTCAAAGAGGACATATTGGCTGGCTTATAAGTTTCCATCCATTTTAAATGCCCTCACTGGGTGAGTTCTTAGTGAAACAG